TCACAAAAATGTTAATGATCGTAAGAGATCAAAAAATATGTTATGTTAGAATGAGTGCGGCCCATTATTATTTATGGCAATCGTTCCATTTTACTGATAACCCACGTCAAGCGCTTTCTTTGAGTGCCTTCCATTAGTTATTTTTTTCGGATGAAACGTTCTAACCTATGCTATATATTTTCCTATATTTTCCTTTTCGGATGGACTTAAGTAGATCCATAGTATCTTTTCTCAACTATTTTACTGAAAAGCGATAAAATACATCTGTAGTCCCCACCGGCTCTGGGTTTCCCTTTTCTCATTGTGAGACCTTCAGCTGGTATCGGTGTCTTTCGAGGTCACCTCTCACAACCTTCATGTCTACAGCAACAACAACTAAGCTATATTTGCTTACTTGTTTTGCGTCCCTTTTGCCCAACTGGTTCGAGGATTGATGTGAGAAGAACAGCGTTAGAGTGGTGCCCTCACTAATCCCATAGAATATGCGTTTTTGTATTGTCCGCTTAACCGTAAAAAATAATTTTGAAAATGCATTGGAATGATTTCTGATTTTCGAAACACAAATATAGGGCAGCGGCTAGAGTTTTGCATAAGCTAAATGTTTCCTTCTGCTAAATTTGGGAAAACGTATTCTGCTTTGCTTTTGATTTTCGACTGCAAAGCTAAAAATAGCCCATTGTTTTTCATTGTTCTGTAGGACTCTAATCATTGCGGAATTAGGTTTATCCACTACATCTTTCTGTACTTAGGGACAAGTTGTAGTACATTAGTTAAAGCAAGAGTCGAGAGGTATTCAAAAAGTGTTGAGCTCTCATCAAACTACTGATTCACAATGTTTGTTATTTTTATTTGAGAAAGAAAGCTTTGTTGAAAAACACCGCTTATCGATGATTTTCGAGTGCAACTGTTATCCACAGCGCTGTAAAATAGGGAGTTTTTCAATTCACACTAAAGCTAAATCTCATATCAAATTTATTGATGTCAAAAGGTGGCCGTCTCAACATTACAGGAGAGTTCAGACGAATCAGAAGTTTCTTACGTGAATCTTTATGAATTCTCCATTGAAGAATTTGAATTGAATGGGAATTTTAATCAAATTTCATTCCATCTGAGTCACCATCGCTATTGATCATTAATAGACTATGTTAATTTCAAACTGCTTGTTCATTCCAAAAGGAATGCTTCTCCTCTTCATTGCTCAAGTGTCTAAACATTAAGTAATCTCCCTAAGACTTTCTTTTTTCTAATCTTTGATTATCTTTCAACTTCTATCTTCTGTCTTGTATATTTGAGGTTTTTTTTTGAAATAAAGACACATTCTATGACTTTCGCTCAATCACTTATTTTTACGGCAGCCGCCGAAGATTTCCTGGACAGATTCTTTGAAGATTCTTCAGCAAAGAGATCTGTCATTGCTACTTCAACACCTAGCTGTCGTTCGGAAAAAAGTTCAGAACGACTGGTGCACGTTTGCCATTGCGATATGATTTTCACGGGGATCAGCGCTCGATCGCGTTGGTTAAGCTTTTCAACATTGCTCTTTGATTTCGTACTAGTACAATAACAGGAATCAGTTATAGGGTGAAAACAGTCAGCTTTTTCGATCAATAAATTTAATGTGGGATTTACTTTGGGATTTGGGAATTCAAATGAAAGTCTATGATATTCTCGTGTACACTAGGCTTTGTGAGAAACTAAAGAATCTGGTCACATTTTAATGTTGATTTTTAGTAAAGTCGCCATCAATGCCTTTTCTTCAAGTTTGTCGAGTGTCCGAAACTCTCTTGTGTTGCAATAATTTACTATACAAGAATGTAATGCTTACAGCAACAATCATAGCTAGCAAAAGAAAATATGTTTGATAGTGGCTAGTTACTCTCTAGAACAGTTTTCCTCCATTATATTCCAGTGCTCTTTAACTTTTATCAGCTAAGCTATTCTCATTGCAGACATAATAGAAGTATACCTGTGCTTGTGGATATTTACACACCATACATTGCTAAGGAAAGTGGTTTATCTTAACTACGCTTCTTTTTCTTCTTTTCTTTCCTCTTCTTTTTCGACGCTTCCGCTCTTCCTTCATACTGATGAATCGTGGAGAAGTCGTATTCTTACTTTTTCACCTTACCTTTTCACCTAGAGAACAAGAACCGAACGGAAATTAGGTATTTTTCTGATTTTTCTTCATTGTATGTTTATTTTGTCTTTCCGATTAAAAAGTGTGATGTCAAAGTTGTAACCGTGAATTTTTTAGCACTTTATTTAAAGCTTATAGAAAAAGTAAGACAACTCTGCTGAATGACCCTCCAAAGAAGTTATGAATATTGCAGCATTACGATCTGCATTATTTTGAATATTCAGATCAAATAGCCTTTACGTAACACCAGAAATCATTCGGGAAGCATTCTTTGAAATTGCATAAATTGTCGGTATGCAAGCATATTGGCCATTTCGATCGCTCTGAATCTTACATTGTTATTATAGGGAAAAGATCTTGACATCTTTCAAAGATTCGCTCAGCAAATATAGGGAAGAGATTCGACATCAGCGTTTTTTAGGCTGGTCCATAAGTCTTGCACCAAAAACATTCGAGAGTTGTTTCAGAATTGCCGGAAAAACATAACAGTTTGTACTAGGTCGTTCCGAAAGTTCTTTCCGTTTTTCGACCTGCCATCAAAACCGTGGAGTAAATACGGGCAAAGTGTTCAAAGACTATTCAATGCAGTTTTTCTTTCTCTTTTCAAAAGTCATGTTCTCAAACCATCTACTTATGTGGTCATTAAAATAATCGCCAAATTTCTGAACCCATGGTTTTGGCCACATCCAAGTTCCGCAGTTCTTACGAATTTTTGGTCTTGTCTGGAAAGCTTTGATGACATATGGATAAAGTAAACAAAGTGTAATACAACGAATTTTTTGAGCATCTCCGACAAGCTTTTCAATATTTTTGGAATGAGTTTTACAAAAGTCTTCATTTTTGCGAAATCGTTTGGCACCGAACGCATCACACGCTGAGAACTCTTTAGAATTCTAAAGTTTCAAAGCTCATTTGTCATTTAACGCTGATTTTTTAAAACGTAAGCCTTCACCACTTCGAGATAATGAATTCTGAATTTTCGGGTGCAGCAATAAGCTCGCCAAAATTGTTTGGACTATCCCGCCAGCGAAAGTTTCTTGATTCGGGAAGAAAAGACACCTATCAGGAAGGAGAGAAAAAGCTGCATCGAACACGCCCTGTTGCTTGTCGGTTAATGTTCTGTAGTCTTGGCTGAACCAAATGTGAGATTTGTTAGCATCAGAAAAATAATATTCCTAATCTTGGAAGGCCAGATATGCCAGAAACTTTTTTGCAATATCCAGCTGTCAAATAAGCTCTTCCACAAGTTCAAAAAAACGTGAAAAATTGCCAAATTGGGCAGAAAAACTATAGGTTCAAAACTTGTGAAATTTTCTCAGTAACCACAGAAGCAAATGGTCCAGCGACATGATTGCTGGGAAGAGAAAGAAAAGCTGCGTCGAATAGTCTTTAAAGTGCTTGTTCATCTTCCACGCGTTTTTATGCTACATCGAAAAAAAAACGGAAAGAACTTTCGGGAACTATATTTAATTCTATTCTGTAGATTAACGATTTATATACACAGTAAAATCAAAATTTCGACTAAACTGACTTGAAGTAGAACTGTCGATTACATTCAGTCCTCATAAATTTTTGTCAGCAATAAACTACTTTGCTTTTGATACAGTTAATACCGAATTTCTGGATTTGGTTGTGTTCTTTAAGGCATTTCAAGAGATCAAAACTTCATTGCGATTTGAGTGCTCCTCTTCAACGGTTTGTGTCGGTTGATCTTTCAAAAAAATTGCATCTCATGCTTTTTCTTTTTGAGCCTTCATGCATCAGCCCATTTTATTGAAATTGGAATGGAACATTTTCAGGAAATCTCTGCGCGAGACTTTTGGGCCAACATATTGATGCGTTTATCTATCACTATCGGGTACAGTGAACAAAAATAATCATTATATGGTAATCTTTATTCAGCGCAAATAGATTAGCTATTTTTTTCCTACGAGATTTTGGCGCTAAAAACTTTCAAAAGAGCTTTTCCATGTCTCAACAACAACAAAATACGCCCTTTAGAGCTTTGCGCTATTACATTTCCCATTCTTTCACAACACAAGAAGCTCACATAAGGCTGTAAAAGAATTTTTTTTCACCATGACAGTATGTTTTATCTGCTTGAAGCCATGATCATATTTTTGAGTGCTCAATGCGCTCATTTTTTCCAAGAGGGTCCTAAATGGCACGCCTAATCGAGGAAGTGTCATTGTCTGGTCAGAAGCTGTCAGGGAATTCTGGGCGTTATTCCAGGAGTACGACAAGCAATCATCAAAGGACACTTTTTCCTAAAAGGTTTTTCACGTCTCATGGCTGATGTAAGGCAATTCTAGTGCTAACCACGTGTATCAGACGATTCCTAGAGGTTTAGATGTCCTCCCACTTATAGCAAAACATAGGCTTTTCACGGGTTGAGGAAGTGTGATTTGGATTAGAACTTGTATTTTTTTATATGTTAATGAAATAGAAACTATGAATAGACTAGAATTCGCTGTTCTTCGCTCAACATGTGAAATCACTAAAGAGTAAGAAAATGTTATATGCCATCATTTGTACCAGAATACACTCATGTCATTGCAGACCAATGGTTCTTGCGGCATTTTTTGCTCTGCACTGAGATTAATTTCCTTTTCCATGACAGACATCGTGAATCGGTTATAAATGCAGAAGTTACAACAAACTCCGCTCAAGAAATCATCAGTCATATCTCTGGTTCTGCTCATGTAACACATTTACACACTTGATACCATTAATCATTCACTTTGCACAGTCTCTCACTTTGTTTGTCCACTTCTAAAAGATGTTATCTGCTCATGATGTTTTCCTTCCATTTGGTGTCCTCACATGGCGAAGCTTTTGGTATAGTTCTACAATTTAGCACATTTTTTCAGAAAATGGATACAATATTGTCGACAACGACGGAGGTCATAGGTACCTTTGATCAGGTAATTAGTTATATTTTATTTTGACAAGAGTTGCTGCTCACATTTTTCGCGAATTTGACATAATCCAATTATTTCCTGCTGAAAAAAATCAGCATTTTCAAAACCAGTATTTATCAGGTTTAGTGATATAGACATAACAGTAAATAAGTAATGATCTTTTCTTGTACCGTAATTACCAACTTACTTCAAAAAAAATGGTGGGACGCTTCAAGTTTTTGTGCTGACTTATTTTCGATTTGATTAAGGCTTCTTCTCAGAGAATTTCCTATTTGATAAAGGAAGTCTCCGACAATTTAGTGGAAGATCTAACTGTGAAGAATGGAAAACAACAACTTTTAATCACCTAGGTTTTCTTGAATTAGTTGTCAAATTCGGATGTAAATTTTTTCTAAACAGTTGCAAAGGTTGAACAAATTATAAAATACAAAAGTTGACGAAGTTAGTCCTATGGTAGCCAATGCAAAAGTTTTCTTTCTGATTTTGTTCATGAGTAATTTCTGCTGTCTGTTCATTTGTTGACGAAAAAAGATCAGGCGCTGCGCAATCAAGATTAGCGGTAAGATTAATGCCGTTTTCTAAAAGTATCAGCTGGTCTTTTTGTAGTTTACCGCATGATTTGCTTTCTGATTTGATCATTTGATCACCGAAGTTCAAACACATCATACGCAGATCCTATCTTTTCATTTATCATATGGGTGACAGATATCAAAAGCCTCTTTTCACAATTCTTACTTATTCATTTACCCTATGGACGGCATACTAGAAACTTAAGAGGAGAAAGTTTGGAAAGGAACAAAACTTTCTGAAGTTAACACTGAGCTAAACTTTTTTGGAAAATTGTCCGATTATCTCGGGTATTTGCTCAACAAGTTAAATTGACCTAATTCTTCAAATCTGATTTCTGTATAGTTGCTTTGTTTGATTGCACCAATCTCAAAATCTGCCGAGAGCAAAACGGTAATAATAAAATCATCATCAAAAACTGAGTGAACAGCGGGAAAAGACGAAAAAAATGTACAAAAACCACATAGTGAAATGATCCTGTTTGCACGCTGCCAGCCAGTGCACTCCAGAAAGTAGTGCAATTACACAAAGCCACCGCCTTTGGCAACTAGATCTTCTCACTGCTTTATAGTTTCCTAATATTTCTTTTCAGCGCTCCGTACTATGGGCCCTGATCGTGGGCATAATAATAGCCTTTGTGCTCGGAGCGGCCATGGGTGGCAACGATGTGGCCAACGCGTTCGGTACCTCCGTCGGTAGTGGAGTGCTCACAATCATCAAGGCCTACATCTTTGCATCAATCTTCGAGACGTTAGGGGCTGTTCTAGTCGGTATGGAAGACACCCAGAAAAAATCTGAAGAATTCAGCTTTCGCACTTTTTATCAAACAGTGGCGGCATGATCGAAAAGTTCAACAGATCAGTCATAACAACTGTTGCAGGAGAGATGTTCTTGGGTTTTTGCAGCTAGACTGAGGGAATGCTTAATACCGCAAATTTTGATATTTTCAGAATTTTAAAACGAAAACGAATGAGAATTTTCGATGAATCGAGAACTCTCAATGAACACGAAGCTGGAAATCACACTGAAAGTAATTATTTGAGGTTGGTCCGTAACGGATACGATGCGCAAAGGTGTCGTCGACACGAATCAGTACATGAGCGCCCCAAAGGAATTACTGCTCGGTCAAGTTGCCATATTGGGAGGTGGGTGAATGAGAATGAGCTTACCTATAGAAGATATTACTGTAAAGAGAAGTCAAATGAATAAAAGTGTCCTAGTAAGACTGCTTCAAAAAATTTAGGTTCCAAGATATTCGTGATACTTGGAATTACAAGTGGATAGTGGCCAGAGGGGCTTCGTTATTGCGCATTTATAGTCAAAATTCTGAATGAAATAAAAAATAATATAAATGCCAATCTAATTTTCAAGTCTGATTTCGCCCAAATCGTAGTTCCTAACCTGAGCAGCTATGTATCGTCATAAGAAAAAATGACTTTTCAAGCTCCACAGTCACTTACTAAATGGAAAGTTCATGTCAGTTTTGTTCGAACATTTCCTTTCCTTCAGATATGTTTCTCTACTGATATTGAAATATGAACTTTCAAAAGGCATGCTGTGGCACAGAATTCCCTTAAATTGTATTCTTTCGGCATATTATTGGTGTAAAACAGTGACGGGTGTATCAGTTTGCACAAGGAAACTGTGAAAATGCAATAAGATCCCTATCTCTTTTTTATCTAAAACTGAAAAATTACTTTGAAAAAATTCTTGAGCTTTCAGGCTGCGCAGCATGGCTTTTGATAGCCACCCTGTTCAGAATGCCTGTCTCAACAACGCATTCGATTGTTGGTGCTACCCTAGGTTTCTCTCTTGTTTTACGGGGCTTTCAAGGAATTCGGTGGAATGCCATCTTGAACATAGGTAATCTACTGACCGTCCATTTTTTTTGTTTTCCAGTCACATATTTCCATATTTTCAGTTCTATCTTGGTTCCTATCTCCATCATTGTCCGGTACCATATCCGTCATTCTCTATATGATTGTCGATTTTGTAGTGTTGAGAAGAGTAAGATAATTTTTTTAATTGTCGTATTGTACAAGCGCTCAACGTTTATTTCAGGACAATCCATTTGAGTGCGGTCTCAATGTGCTACCGGTATTTTATTTTGTTTGCGTTGCTTTTAACGTTTTGATGGTAACATGGGACGGTTCGAGATGTGAGTTTTTCACAAATCTTCTCATAAAATAACTTTGCGATCACTCCGTTTCAAAAAAACAATAATGACATAAAAATATGGCTAATAACTCGCCTACTGTCAGTGTTGCACTTCAACAAAATCCCAGTCTGGGGAGCTGTGCTCATATCTCTCGGTTGTGGTTTCATAGCAGCCATGTTTGTGCAATTTTTCCTCAAACCGAGAATCCACCGAAAAATCCAAGGTTAGCGCTGGTGTCGTAAACGGACCGCAAGATGATCCCCAATTGTACTCTTTCAGATGAGATGGAATCAAAACCGAAAATCGCATGCGTTGTTGTGAATCCAGACCTGGTTACCGATCGTTACATTGTCGGGAAGGAAGTGAAGGATCTCGAAAAGCAAAGCTGCACTTCCAGTAAGATTTGGTATCTTTTATTAGGAATAGACATTGGCAAAAATATTCTTGGAGGTCATTTCTTTTTGAAAAGTTGGAAAACTGACAACGTTTGCAAAGCCGTTTGATCTCTTACAAGCAAAAGTTGCTTGCTCAGACACCGGTGGTGCGAATTTTCTTTGAAGGGTGGGAGACAAGAAAGAAGTCAGTCTTCCATGAATTTTTTTGGTTGTTTCTCAAACCTTTTGCAAGCTTGTCATCTCAAAACTTGAAGAAGAAACATAATCTTCCCGAAATTTTTACTACACAAAACTTAATTTTTAGATTTTTACTACCGATTTTTGTGTCAATAAAATTATTGGGATAATTTATAAATAAACAGTTTGACTGCATAACTTTCAAATGAACACCTTTTTCTGATAAGATTAATTCCGATACGACAGAGACAGGGATCCTTCCTGCAATGAAAATAAGTTTTGCTGAGCCTTTCCGAAAATCTAGATCTATCATCTTTACTTCAACTCTTCGATTTTTGCACTTTAAAAACCGTGATTTAGGGGTACGATCCTTCTTCGAGTGGCTCCTGCCAGCTGAACGAGTCGAAGACGCACAAACTATCAAGCTATTTTCTACGATCCAGGTCTTCACCGCATGCTTTGCTGGTTTCGCACATGGCGCAAATGATGTTGGGTAAGTCGCTTCTATCAATAATTTTTTTGCTGTAAAAAATGCGGATTCAATTTCGGAAGCTCAAGTTGTTTTTTGACTGTGAAAAATCATTTCCGAACACTATAGCAAGCTTTTTTCATGTCCTCATTTTAGCAATGCAATTGCACCTTTGACTGCCCTCGTTGCTATCTACAAGGACGAAAATGCCCGACAAGAAGGAGAAGTGAGCAGTCATTAACCTTCGAATAAATTACCTTAATGGATATAGTTTAGGTTCCGATTTACATCCTCCTCTACGGAGTTTTTGCCATTTGCGTTGGCCTGTGGACTATGGGCCATCGTGTAATTCGAACGGTCGGAACGAACATGTCCGAAATCAACCCTGCAACGTAAGTTTGTGATAATCATGAAATAGTAGGAAAAATTAGGGGCACAAAAATTACGTAGAAAAAAGCAAGGTATATTCAACAGCTACAGTAATGACCGACGGAAATTAAAATTAGCCGTAATCTCTCTCTCCAACACAGACTGAACAACCAATTTCTCTGGCATCTGAAAGAATAAGAGCTGTGAAAATTTGCAGAATCATAACGCTTCGAAAGAAAATCTAGTTCGAGTTCTCCAAACACAGAGTGTAAACTATATGCTGAGCAAAAATATACTTTCATGCAGATACGATCCATTTTGATTGGATCAATGTTGTCTTTGTTGTCCTAATTGTGACAATTGCAATAAATTTCAATTTTTTCTCCGTAGAAAGCAGTTCTTCCTATTCTTTTTTGTTCAAAAGTGGAGAAAGAGGCCAAAAGTTCTGCAGCATGTTTTTATCATCATCACCATTGCTATTTTTCATTGTTTATAACGATCTAGTCATTTTGATGATTATCTTATCATTGAAAAACTTTTGCTTAGATGGTATTGTGAAAAGTTGCATCGAATTCAAATGCTCGATGTTTTAGCGGATTCACAATCGAATTCGGTGCTGCTATGACAGCGTTGATATGCAGTAAATTAGGCCTCCCAATTAGCACTACCCATTGCTTGGTGAGTGATTCTTATAGCTATCAAAGCCATCCATAGAAAAATCTTTTCATCTTCAGGTAGGATCAGTGGTAGCTGTTGGTGTCGTGAAATCGCGAAAAAACATCGATTGGTCGATCTTTAGGAATATCGTAGTCTCATGGGTCGTTACCCTACCTGTTTCCTGTAAGTTCTCTTGCAAAACTAGAATTTTCGATGTTTGGACTCCACAAAACTCCAAATCTTATTTTTTTTTCAGGTGCAATATCGGCTGGCATAATGCTTCTGCTTAAGCTTCTGGCTCTCTAGTCACTTTGATACTCTTCTGACCTCTTCTCGTCATAATGACCGCATTTTGAAAAAACGGTTCGGATCACTCACTTCTGCAAGGATAATCTCGTTCCTTTGCCTTAATAAGTCGTTGCAAAGACGAATTGTACATATCCTAATAAATATTCTCTCTTATTTATTTGAACGATAAAAGCGGGGTAAAATCTATTGCAAGGGACTAACATGTTGACGACCACTTGACAAACCATGTGTGTCAAGGTTTGAACTTCGTTACAATGACGGTTAAATTGATACAAACTTATTACAGTAATTTGGGTAGAGGAACGAACACCTCCTCAGACAATTGCATCGGAAAGTTCGCGGCCTTAAAGAGTGTTACACGGAGCGCCGCGGCCCCTGAAGTTTGAGCTCCGCACGCCGCGGCCCATGTATATTTTACCGGGAACGCCGCGGCCAAAGTTGAAGCTGGGAAATAATTATCGGGAGGGTCGCGGCCCAACCACCTCACTCGGCGGGCCGCGGGCCTTATCAAAGGCCGCACTTCTTACACACTGCAGGATAAGGCGCAACCCGCGTGAGGTACGCCGCAGCGATGGGGCTACCCTAAGTGTTCATGAAGTTGGATATCACTGCTCGGATTTGGTCCTGTCTGACAGAATCGAGTTCTCATGATCATGAAATAAACTCCAGCAGTCGGTTGAGTGTTATCGACGACACTAGATGATGTCGACAGATGAGCTAACAAGTTGCTCAGTTTGCACTCAAGTCCGTCATTGTGAAGGACAGACTAAATAGTTCTTTACTCTTCCTAGGTCTTACAAGCATGCTAATCGGGTCAACTATAGGCGCCTAACGGGCTCTTACAGGATGCGCCGCGGTCACTTATCGGGTCTAATATATGGGTTTACCGGGCAGCTCGCGGCATGGATGATTGGTGGTCGAACAAGCACCCGCGAACTTCCCGATACAATTGTCTGAGTCAATTAGGCGCCGCCTGCGCGAACTACTGGTCCCAACACGATGCACAACAGTAGGACGAAAGGACCAGCAACCCGCAGAGGTGGTGCCTAATCGAGGCGTTCGTTCCTCTACCCCAGTAATTTTCTTTTGCTGTGAATCTAGAAATGACCTCTATCTTCTTTGTTAGCCTTCCACAGCTACTGTAGGCGTGCCGTAGATGGCAGTCAGCGCTGTTTTACCTAGAAAATCCTGACTGGTACGTAAAGGTCTTGGTCCCAAAAGGCAGACAATCAAAAATTTGCATTGTCGTCAATGTTTTAAAAATATCTACCAATTTTTCCTTGGCGTTTTGCCCAGGGCCAGGCACGAGGTGGGCAGTCAAGCTGGAAATCGTTTTAGATGGAAAGCAAAGGGGTTATCTTAAATATACGTTTGCATGTATAGGCTGCTGCATGACGAAGGCGTAGTACTTTTGCGCGCGAACGCGGCTTTATTGGCAGCAGAGCGCATGAGGTGCAGGATTTACAACGGTGAAGATACGCGCGCGCCGCGTTCGCGCCCGCTCGAGTAATACCGTTTCTGCGCCTTCGTCATGCAATAGCCTTTACATACATTTCCTCACAAGCTGTTACACGACTGACATGCAAAAACACTCATCTTCAAAAATCGGAATTTATTCCCTTGATAATCGAATGCGTCGGTCACAGTGCGCACATGGCGATATGACTAAGAATTTGGAGTATAAACGGACATGGACTAGGAGAAGGTATAGTGTGTAGTATTGTGGAGAAATCATATGAAGTTGTGGCAAGCTTTTTTTCTGAAAACTTCTCACTACCAAAAATTGGAAAAATGGCTCGTTTGCAACGCACAGATGACGGTATGGCACGAAATTTGGGGTGGGGGACATTAGGTCGCCGAAAAAGGGCGGTCCCCGCGGTCATTTGAGACAAATACGCACCCCTGTACATGCGCGGACATGCGTTCCTGCAGGGAATCCGCGCGGGACTCTTCCAAATTCGGCGACCTAATGTCCTCCACCCCGAAATTTGCTGTGTATAAGGAACAAAGTATGAAAAATTGTGGAAGAAGTTATGTGAATAAAGACGCGCTTAACTTTTCTTCAAATCAGATGGACAATTGCTCACCCAATGCCCACCTAAGGTAGGCAAAACATTAGCTATCCATTTCATATAGTTTTCAAAACTTTCACATGATTCAGTTTTACACTTGAATTTTAGTATACAGTAACATTTTGGTTCTAAAACTGCTCCTCTCCTCCTCGTTAGGATCTAAATTAGCAACGATGCCATTGCTTTTGAGGAAGAAAGCGCGCTCCAATCGAGCAACCAACGCTGGCGAGATCAATTAGGAAAACGTAAGAATCGATAGTGACAAAGAGTCGTTTCAGCGATTCCGTTTGCCACCCTCGTGTGGGGCTTGATTCTATCAATTGCGATAAAAGTCTTGCATGGAAGTGTATTCTTACTGAATGCGTTATAATGGTCTTGAAGATCATCGTCGACCCCAAAAAAAGGAAGCGAAGGGATTTGGAAAGGTAGGATCTGAAGAACTCCCTACAATTTTTTGGCGACAAACTGTAATCTTGATCTCTTATCTTATGACTACCATAAGTCTATCCTAAAAAATGGAAACAATCAAAATGAGCTCTTTTCTTGAGCGATGGTGATGGACTCAAAGTTATTATTTCACGCAATTCGTGATAGTAACCCATTATTCCATGGCTACCGTAGCCCTACCGTATAACCTCAAGCGCATTCATTTACAGACGAATGTTTAAACACATGCTGTAGTTCACCCAGAGTTGCTGCAATTCCGGCATTAAGTCTTTAACTGTCACTATTTTCTAGGGATTATGTAACTGGTACTTTTTCCCCAAGCGTTCTGTGAACCCTATGATGTCTAAGATAAGATTTATCACGAAAAATATTTATTACTTGCACATATAATCTATAGAATTCTACAAAAAGGAGAACCATAAAGTCAGTTTGACGAACTTGTTCCCTTACCCGTACAATGGTCGTGCTAATTCTCGCACAATTACCTTGTTTGATTTATAGAAATTACTGGACATCACTGCTGTAGACAGCGACGAGATTACGGTAACAATTCATACTAATGAGACTACAAATAATGAGCCAAGTAAGAGTGCTGAGTAAGAATTTGGGATCAATGCAGAGTTCATTGGTAGACCAGGAAACGTTTCCGGGTAACCATCTACTCGCATCTGAATCACCCGATTGCGAGCATAATCCGCGGTAAATCCGGTAACTTTCTGAAAAGCGTGGGCGATGAGCAATTACGAAATCTAACAATGATGAATTCAGCAAACATGACTAACAAATGTCGAAAAAAAAACCCGCATATATCTGAGAACATGAGATAACTACGAAATGTCACTAAACTTTCTAAAAAATTCGTACCGAAAACCAAATCTCATGGAAAAGCAATAAGGAGCGAAATGGCTTGTGCCTTATGAAAAAAGTTGAATGGAAAAATTTGTCTCTCCCCTACAGTTGTGACAGTGGAATGTGAAAAATTTCGGCGAATTCGCCGAATTCGCCGATGTCGCCGAATCCGCCGATGTCGCCGAATTCGCCGATGTCGCCGAATTCGCCGATGTCGCCGATGTCGCCGACTTTGCGTCTTTTCGTCATAACTCCCTTCGTTCTCAATGGATTTCAAATTTGAAGGAAGATTTGGATTCAGCTCGCCGAGACGAATCTTTTCATATATTGAACTGCTGTAATCGGCTCGGTCACGGTAAGTGCATGGTAGGAATCCGTTGCATCTTGTGGTGGTGTTTTCTAGAGCGTGTATTTCGGCGCATAATGTAGGCAAAAGTTTAAGAAACAGAGCGTTTGATGGAAGAGTTTCTGCTGAGTGATTCCAGCAGAAAACCATATCCTTTTTTGTGGTGGAAAAAAGAGAAAGGAGTACGTGAACTTAGTAAATATATATGAACCACTTACCGTCAAACAAACATAACTATACAGTAACACTATGATTAGCAAAACAATTATAATCAGGGTTGAGCAAGAGGTCAGGCAGAAGCCCTTCATAAACGACCCCCCCCCCCCCCTGTGAAAACCCCCAAAGACCCTCCGCTTCACCTGTATTCCTGAACTAAGCCCTCAAAAAACATACTTGATCAGTTTCCGAAATCATACGGGGGTCCCGAGAAAATGTTCCTACTGTTTAATTGTTACCAACTCTTTTGCCAGAAACCCTAAGCTTTAAACATTATTGCAAAGAGCTGGTCTCAATACAGATTTACAGCATGGAGCGGATCACCTGTCACTCTTCGTTACTGTAGAATTGGTAAGAAATTAGGGGAGGGTTTTGAGCCATGAGAGCCGCATTTCCTCAGAAGAAAAACACAACGACTTGAAAACTTTTTAGAGTTGGTGATTCTAAATATGAAGTTCGCACTCTACCTAATAGTCCGTTAAAAGGTCATACTAGGTAAGCAACAGCAGCGGTTTTTTTGATGTTCCAAAAAATGTGGTTGCACCTTTCAGAAATCTTCATTATCTTGTACAAAGTTGAGTATTGAACTCAGCGTCCATGAAAACCCCATTACACCCCTTTTAGATTTTTTGAAATCATGTAAATTAGCGACTTTTTCGAAGTGACGCAATTGCGCAATGACGCAATTCAAAATGATGCCTATAGCTTCACCAATGACTTTGTGACAAGCTGACAAGAGAGTTATCAACAATCAAACAGTAAGCACATTTTTGGGGACCTCCTGAATATTAACTCTTATACTCTTATCTTCCCAATTTGGAGGTCCCTTGAATGGATCGATTATGAAACAGCAAACTCTGCACTCATCCTCCACCCCAAAGGCAGTCCTTCTGCCAGACCCGAAAAACGCAAAATTTGAGTGAAAATTTTCCCGGCTATCGTTGCGCGTTAATGTTAAAAAGATATGTTCAGAAATTAACCGAACAAGCTGTATATATCGGACTTGCTCGAAACGCGATTTAAAACATGTGTTTACATCTGCCGAACTACTACTAAACTGGAAGCAGTTATGAGCTTTTAAAAAAGCATGTTCCACGAAATATGTTTCATAAACAATTTTCAGATTTTTGGCGAATGTGCTTCTTCCTTCCGATTAGCATACTCAGCCAGTAAATCCGGGCTATCAGGGTGCCCTTCAACTAATATATTCGTTGAAACTTGACCAATTCATATTTGAAAGCTCGTAACTCTTTCTTGATAGTTATATGCCAGATAAAAACATTTATTTTCAGCGTTACAAGGCGAGTCCGATGATAACAGCTTGTTCGAAATCGCTGAGTTAACTTTTGACCATTTCCTGTTTAGTTTATTCCCAATGATTTTGAGGTATTGCCACAATGTTGAAGCTGGAGTGAAACTTACGTGGGACACGGCATTCATCATAATTATGTCCGAGTCTACCCATTGGACTGTGGTATCGTTGCTGAAGTGCTTGTTGCATGGTGTTCCTCCTGCCTGGCATAAGCACAATCCGAAATGTCCGTGGGCGTGACAAAGAACTCTCTCATCTCGATCCCTCCTGAAAAATCCCCATATTAGGAGGTGGCTGGAAAGGGTGGCCGGCCTTATTATCTCCATTCGAATCATCAGAGAAGCTAGCATCTCCGTATTCGTTTTGACATGCTGCATTCATGGTCCCGCAAGATTACGAAGTTAAGACATAACACAGTTTGTGAGGAACTTGTTCCCAATTGTTTTTTTTAGCTCTCATCATCCCAGAAATTGGATTAACGTTCTCTTTCGCATGAGGGCGCAAAAAAGTATTAACGTTAACAGCTGATGGAAGAGCTGCATTTGGTAAAAGACATTTATATCCGCTCAAGTGTCTGTGCACAAAGACAGAGCTACTGTTTTCGAAATGTGTTCAAGGAAATTTTAAACCAAACCCAAGCTTACTCATAATTTGCTGCTTAGAAGCGTTTGTTTAGGAAAATTTTTCTATGAATTTACATAAGTTTTAAAAGGGTACTAATCGCAAACAATCATAAGTCTTACGCTTGCAAGAGGATGGTGAAATTAGGTAATCTTCCAAATGATCTGGTCTGATCTGCTCTCTCCAAATTACGGTGAATGATAGATTCGTGATCAAATGCTCACTTTACTGATCTTTCACAATAATCAGCTCTTCTTCATCCTGTAGCAACTAATTACGAAAAGAAGTTTTGTAGTTGCCTTCACAGGTTTGATTTTTTATCGTTTGGATTTTAAGAATTCAGATGCTCTTATCTATTTGATTATGTTTTACTTTTGGAGACTCCACTCCTGCACTAAGCAAAGCAGAGAAATTTTTGCCGAAACAGGTGTATGTAAAGTACCGTTATTCTCCTTTGAGGCTAATTACAAGTCAATTAGAGCAAGCTCGAACACCATCCACAACGTTGCTCTTCGCAAGTACTAGGCTGTTGCATAAGTTCTGTCCGATTTGAATTTTTGAGTTTAAAATGTCATAACTTCTTTCAGAGTCAACTTTTTTCCAAGGTCTTAGTTTCTATGTGTTGAGCAGTCCCTTGGCTAAAAAATGCATATTGAGATCTGCGCAAATCTTTGTTAAGGAAGAACCAAGAATGCAAAAACTTCGCAGCGTTTTTCTTCGAATCTGTCTTTTTTGACATGGTAACGCTCCCTTATGAAAATTGATAGGCATCTTTTCTAATAATGGATGGATAGAGAAATTTTCGTAGATTATTATGCAACATAAAAGAGCCCATAGGGTTTGCGCTGCCGAGAGATTTTCTTGACCGAACAAAAAATTGGCCACTTTTTGACCTCGCTTTAGCACATGTGTGCATGCCTATTTACAAATTATGAAAATTTTACAACTAAGGTGAGCGCCGAAAAGGAACTGGTGGATGGGCCCTGATAGCTCTTGCTTTGCCCTAGCACCTCCAACTTTGAAGTCGTCGATTACTTCTATTCGCAGAAAGTTATAGCATGTAAAACATCTATACAGAAAATTAATGTTCGACAATAGATTTGACTAGCAAGACGTTTTCTTCATAGAACCAAATTTCTGCATATACTAGCATTCTATACCCTTATTCCGCAGCCGATGGAAGAACTTGACTTGAAGGGCGCATTGTGGAGATTTCCTTGCAAGAACATATTTCTAGGGTGAGAACGTACCTCGGCCACTTAGAGATTTTAGGCCTGTGATCTCCGTACACTAAGAATTTTATTGAATTCTGGTATGCTTTAGAAAGCGCAAGGAAAGCACTTTTCAATGATACCAACCGTATCGAATTAGAGATGAAATTCTCTTAGAACAGCTGCTTCAAACATGAGGCAAAAAAATCGGACAGAACTTATGCAACAGCCTAGTATATGAGAAAATGGACTCAAAATTATTGGAATCCCTATGACTTTTAAAAGATTTATTAGGCATCGTTGGCAGCAGCGTTCACAAACAATTATGCATAAACTCTTCCCTCATTATTTTCCTATTTTCCAATGTGCTCAGGCTCCAAAGGCCAGGCTCATGCCCAGCTGCAGTAATGATAAACCCAGTTTTGTGTTGGTCAAATGATGTTGCTTCATCTTTTATCCCTTTAAGTAGTTTCATATAATTATCACCGTCAATGTTTTTATGCCATCTATGATGGATTCAAATGTTAGTGGAAGTACAGCAAATAGAGAAGAGAAAAAGGTTTTTGTTGCTTTTGGAAATGCAACAAATTTTAGAAGTAGAGAACCCTGGAAGGTTCGAGTTTGATTATTTTTTTCTGCATCGATTGGTCCCTCAAAGAGCTTTCGAGAGTTTCAGCCATTTCCAGCAAAACAATTGCCTTGCGTTTGGAATAACCGATTGTTGTTGGATTCAAGTATGCAGCATGCGCGCAACAACATTTGGGATACCAAATTCATCATCAATATTGCATTATGACTTCGATAAAGCAAATGTATAAACTTTTGCTATTAGATGTTGGCACTATTCTGAGATTGCATGAAATGATACGAGAGTAACTGAATCCTCAACGATTTGAATCGACTGATTCTTTGGTAGCTAATGGAGAGATCGTAAGGAAGTTGTGCCTTTCTTACCCTCCAAGGATTTGCCATAAAGTGCTGCAATTGTTTGAAGAGCGGTAATGGCAAATGTTAAAACATGAATAGCCTGCCTGAGAATTTCACTTAGCTATCTTATCAGCTGTTCGCCCGATCTTTTTAGATGTATTTTATTCTATGTAATTGAGAACTGTATAGAATCGAAGACAGGCATTTTGTAACAATGTATTGACCAAAGTGAGTGTACATATTCTGTGGAGAAAAATACACCTCGAGCAATGCCTTTAGCAGCATCCCATAGCAAATTTCATTCAGAACTTCAGCTAGCTCATCAGTGTCAGCATCTATTATAATTTCAAGTGACATTAAGTAATATGCTCATCACTGTTGAGCTAGATTTTTCAATTCTAGCTTGCTCCTATCTAGGACTCCTCTCAGATTACAGTACCTCACAAATAAACAAGGAGGCATACGAGGAGGTAAGACCGTTTTTACCCTAATTTCAGGCAGATAAGGCGCCGTTTTCGAAATTTCAAGCAAGACGCTCAGCGGCTTCACTGTATTCCGGAAAGAAATCCTTATATCGCAATATTCTCCCAAGCAATATACAGCCCGTTATAGGGTCCTTTGGTTGTAAAGTCCTTTGGCGTGTCTGGGCCGGTCGATTTTGGAAAAAAATCCCCCGCGCCTTATACGCGTGAAATTAGGGTAATACAGTGCTGGACAAAATTATAGGTCCACTCTAAAAAGTGCCATAACTGACTCTGTTGTCAATAAAATGTTCCAAAATTTGATACAGCCGTGTATTTACCAGCATACTATCAGTCCCCAAAATGGGTCTCGTTTTCGTTCGGTCATTCAAAAAAAAAATGAAAATTTTGAAAAAAGCAGGCTTGAAGGCTGGACAAAATTATAGGTCCACATGGAGTTTTCACTGATTAAAGCACTTCTTAGCTCCCGAATTTTTTTTAGGTAGGCACACATTTAAAATGTTAAACAGCTGCTTTAGTCAAGCTCTGTCATACCTCCAAAAAGAACTGATTAACTGCTTTTTGCCTTGAAAATGCTTTCACATGCATTTCGCTCCACAAACCTGCGTTGAGTGAGAAATTCTGCAGTTTCTCAGCTAGATCGGAAGCGAAGGGGGTTTCATCTATCTTCTGGTTGCTTTTTGACGTGAGCATTGAGGAAAAAATCCGACTTTTTGCTGCTGAAGCAAATCCGACATCGACTCAATCGGGAGAGAAAACCTCAGTTTCTGCCCTAAAACCCTTTATGCTTGTCATTATAACCTCAATATATTGTAAAAGCATTCTTTACACAAGAATAAAGCTGTTCGCCAAACTCTCAAGTGTCCACAAAACTGCCTTGCTTCTTTTTCGAAACCTGAGTTGTGTGCAACGTAATGATGATTTTACGCAGATCCAAAATAGCTTGCCAAGTGCTACCTCGCTTAGATTTTTGACAGTAATTATTTCCTAGATAGTGGATACAGCTTGTAGTGTATGTTAGCACATGATTCTTCTGAAAATTTTGGTCGGAGCCACAAGTAGCTTTGGTCTTGTCGTAATCAGTTTCTGCAGAGTGATTTCAGTAATTATACTCGAATGCTAGGATCTCTAGAAAGTTGTAACTATGGTATACGGACTTCCCTTCATAGGAACAATGCCTTTACTTTACTCAATGCTTCTGAGAACATCGTAAAAGAAGTTTGAAGACAGAAATTTGAGCTCAGGATTGCAGTATTGTCAATGTCGGATTTGCTTCAACAGCAAAAAGTCGGGTTTTTCCCCAATGCCCACGTTAAAAAGCATCCAGAAGGTAGATGAAACCCCGTCGCTTCCGATCTAGCTGAGAAACTGCAGAATTTCTCACTCAACGCAGGTTTGTGGAGCGAAATCCATGTGAAAGCATTTTCAAGACAAAAAACAGATAATCAGTTCTTTTTGGAGGTATGACAGAGCTTGACTAAAGCAGCTGTTTAATGTTTTCGGATGTGTACCTACCTAAAGAAATTCGGGAGCGACGAAGTGCTTTAATCAGTAAAAACTCCAGGTGGACTTATAATTTTGTCCAGCCTTCAAGCCTGCTTTTTTCAAAATTTTCATTTTTTTGAACGACCGAACGAAAACGAGACCCATTATGGAGACTGATAGTAGGCTGGCATACACACGGCTGTACCAAATTTTGGAACATTTTAATGACAACAGAGTGAGTTATGGCACTTTTTAGAGTGGATCTTTAATTTTGTCCAGCACTGTAGTAGCAGCTACATTTACAAGGCAATGTTAGCAGGACTCGGCACAGGTGGCTTACGAAACAGACTGGATATCGTTCTGAGGCAAAAAGCCAAGTGAATGTCGTTTCTGTGGGGTTCGGGGACACTGGGAAATACATGTATTTTAGTGTAGTGTAATGAAAAATCACAAATCGCATCGTGCAAATCGGAGTTTCAGGAATGCTAAAAAGTTTTTCAAAAACCTCCTGAATACGCAAGTACTTGAGAACTGGATTTTCATATAGAATCAACCAATCAAAAAATTCTGAATAATTGGTCGACTTCACGCCCATTAACTCAGCAAATCCCCCCCCCTAACGGTCAGCCTTCCTCTTCAATCCTCTTTTCTTTTTCTGGGTAAGTCACAAGTGCTCATCACTGCCCTGCCAATCCCATTCCTTGCAACCAACAATTTTCCAAAAAGCTCTGTGTGCAAGCGCGGGAGTTCGGAAATGTGCCCCAAAATAAAAAAGGAGTCATGGCGAAGACTAGATGATATTGCACCAAATTTAGTGTGTAACTGCCACAGGGAGTTAGTATGAAAAACTACGAAGAAATCAATTATTTGGGCTGAATTTGGCAGACTTCATTCGTTATGCGGCTTTTTCTCCAGCTGGAGAGCACCTGAGGTGGCTCAGAGAGAACCAAGTCATAATTTTCCCTTCACATATTCTCCCCTTTTTACGAAATTGAACTATGATTCACGACTCGATGCCATGATTAACATTGCGACAGGAGTAAGGGTGGAGGACTATATGTCGTCGAAAAAGGGCGGTCCCCGCGGTCATTTGCGACAAATACGCGCCTTTGTACATGTGCGGACATGCGTTCCTGCAGGAAATCCGCGCGGAACTCTTCCACATTCGGCGACATATAGTCCTCCACCCGTGCCCCCCCCTACTCACAGCCCTTTAAAAAATGGATGGTGGCAGAAATTTTGCTCCAAGCGCGCGGTGGTGCGCGCCTGACACAGCATGTCTCCAACCCGTAGAAACGAACACCATCACTTTTCTGCTTAATGTTGTTTCTTCTATTTCTGGTTTGTTACTTATGTTTACTCATTCCTGAGCGCATCATAGGAGCTGTCGTACTTCTGTTCCGAAGTCAAATGGGACTTCGTTTCCAGAAAACTGTTAAAGGCACCTGGTGCACCCTTGAACACTTAGAATGAGAATCTTTTCAGAAGAAAAAAGAGAATTGCGCAAATGCCACGAGACGTACAATAAGCTTGTGAGACCACTATTGGCCACGAAATTAAAACTTGATGGAACATTTGTTTTTGTGATGACATGCAAGTATGTGTATGCTATTTCATACAAATTAGGCAAAGAGCAATACTTTATGGCCTATTTCATGCAGTTTTCCCTTGAAATCAACGCCGTATATATAGACCAGTTAGTATGATACCCACCTAAATCCGTAATCTGACCAATCTTCAGCGCACCCGGAGAGGAACATGCTTCGTAGATCGGATAACACGTCTGGAATAAGGCATTAAAAAATGGAGTGATAATCCACTAATGTTTGTGCATACGACTTTATAGAGCTCAGCGCCGTATCAGTTTATACGGTCTAATTTGATAATGTTCCTTCTTCATCTCTTATTGCTGGTTTCAAAGGTAAAATAATGGAACAACATTGCCCAAAATTGATCTATGCATTTGCTTGGTTCGTATATTGTTGACATTATCCTATGACTACGGCACGGTTCAGAAGGTTCAAATTACAATTTCGTCCACATCAACTGGCCATGCCTCAAAAGAGAAAAGGAAAAAGCTGAAGGTGTTTTCGTTCTTCTCTCACACATAAGCCATCAATGCCCTCCATACCGGGAGCTTTTATGGGGCTGGTTGGTAAGCATTATCAACAAACCCAAATGAATCAACAGTGCACTCGGACAGCGAATATTGACCGGGTTGAACTAATTGCCGGGGCATCAAGTGCTTACTTTTATAGGTTTGCTTTCACATCACTAGACAATCTCTGCTAGGGATATTTGACGATTTTCCAAGCATATTTTTAGAGAGTCAAGTTACTTCGGGAAATTGCTTTTCTAGTATGTATTAGGTCATTCCGAAAGTAATTTCGCTTTTTTCAAACGGGCGCCATATTTGATGGAACAAAGATTTCGGAGAGATCTTGGAAGCGTTCGATGCAGCATTTCATCCTCTATCTAACAGTGATGAAAACGTTGCAGTAAGGTCAATGAGCTTTCGGAAAATAACGAAAATCTACGACATACGCTTTTTGAGATGGTCAAGTTTCACAATTTCTTAAAACTTTCATATCAATGCTGAGAAGGAGTTCAAGTAACGATTCCATAGAGCGAATCTTATAGAATACGATGCGACTCTTTTCTCTTTTTCCTACCTCGCCGTAATTTTTCAAAAGATCTTTTTAACAAAACCATCGGATTGTTGTAGGCCTACATCAGCCACAACCGCGTCAAACATCAAAAATTTCGGAATTTGAGACTACTAAGATGGTACCACGAGTAAGCACTAATTTTTCTGAGCAAATGAGAGTTTACGGATTCGAAATATCAAATTTGGATTTTTTGGGGTACAGCCTGGGGCTCGTTAAAAAAACGAGTTATGATGATTTTATCCCCGAAAAATAAACAAATCGGGAACAAAAAAAACCCATTAGAAAGAGGGGAAAATGCTGCATCGAATAGTGCACGAGCTGCTCTTCCTTTGATGTTCTACGAGGATTTAGCTGTCCAAGTAAGGAAATCGGTAGCATCAGTTAAAATTCTGTTAAAATGTATGACAAGCTGTAGAAAGGAGGAAAAAGTTGTTTTGCATTCTGTAGAGTTTGCTCAATGAACACGTTACTTGTACTTTATCGGAGGTTTGATATAAAAGTTTAGAAAAATTGTGAAACTTGACCATCTCAAAAAGCATAGGTCGCAGATTTCGGTCATTTTCTGAAAGCTCATTGATTGTTTTGCAAAAATTTCATAATCATTAGAAAGAGGATGAAATGCCGCATCGAAAGCTACCAAGATCTCTTAGAAATCTTTGTTCCATCAGATGTGGCACCCGTTTGAAAAAAGCGAAATTGCTTTCGGAATGACCTAATACATAGGAAGGCAAGGTGTATAACTATGATGAAAAAATGCCTCACTCAGCAAAATTTTTTGGAAAGAGATATATCGCGAAGGGGTGTTTCTATTAGGTTGGTGCAAAAAAATGCGTGTTTTGCAAAGTCTCATTTTTACAAGGTATGTACGATTGAGTAGATTTTCCGCTCAATATAGTGCTCACTGCAGATGAAATAAAATTCGCGCGTGAACGAATAGCTACGCTCGTGACGCCGGCCAATTGCGCGCGCAAAAGGCCGGCGTTACTGACGTAGATACCTATCTAGCTATTTGTTTACGCGCAAATTTTACCGCATTTCACATGCTGCAAGCACTCTATATTGAGCGAAAAATCTACTCGACTGTATAACTTTGTAAATTCTATATTTTCAAATGCAATAAAAATTATGAGTTATAGAAGTGGGAGGCTCACCATGGATAACTCATCAAGTGGTGAAATGCACTGCTAAATAACGAATATTAGTATTTTAGGGGTCGCAAAATCAGGCTTAGAAAGAGTTCAGATTTTTTTACCCAAAACGGCCTCAAGTAGGAATTTGCAAACAGAATCAGATACTCACAGCTGTAGCAGTAGTCCGAATAGCAAGTACCGGGATTCGTGCAGAGTAGTCTATTGTCGATAAAAGTGAATACACTACAAGTGAAGCACATCTTCGTCTCTGAAGTGTTCGTGACGGATGTGGCGTCGAACGAGAACGCAGATGCGGCCAGTTGCAGTAATCCGAGAATGGCCCACATCTCACTCTGGAACGAATTGCTTTTGTTTTTTGTTTTTTTTTTTGATTGGCAAATGCGCTGAAGCGCAATCAACAGGAAGAATTTCAAAGGTTTTCGTGCAGTATCAAAGCAGGACACATTTTTTTGGAAAAATTCAGAGAATTGGCGTTCCTCACGGTAGGGTTTGTTCGTTTTTTTCTATGAGTCCCCATAGATCAACGATTAGAAAGCATTAGAAAACCTTATGTTTGTTTTCTTTTTGATGGTTGACTATCTCGAACAAAATCTTCCGAAAAGCATTTAGAAATGTTTAGATTTATCAACCTTGCCAGTGCTATATGCTTCATAACTGGCCGACTCAAATAGAGTTTCTTTAGAACTTTTCAGCAGAAAAAAATCTAACAGAACAAGTTACAAAGTTACTGAAGTCATATAAGACTGCTGCATAAGTTCTGTGCGATTTAAATTTTTTGAGTTCAAAATGTCATAACTTCTTTCAAAATCAACTTTTTTCCGAGATCTTAGTTTCTATGTGTTGAGCAGTTCCTTGGCTATCAGAAACGTACTGAGATTTGCGAAAATCCTTGTTCAGAAAGGAGCAAGAACTCAAAAATCTCACAGCGATTTTCTTCAAACCTGTCTTTATTGACATGGCAATGCTACCTTATGAGAATAGATAGGCATCTTACCAAACGATGGATAATTAGAGAAATCTTCTTAGATTATTTTGCAACTTTAAAAAGCCGATAGGGTCTGCGTTGCAGAGAGATTTTTTTTGACCGAGCAAAAAAGAAGCCACTTTTTGACCTCCCTTCAACGCATGTATGCGTGCCTATTTACAAATTATGAAAATTTTACGATTAACGTGAGCTCCCAAAAGGTGGGCTCTGCTAGCTCTTGCGTTACCCTAGCACCTCCAATAACTCATCGATTACTTCTATTCGCAGAAGCTCATTGCTTGTAAAACGTTTGTACAAAAAATTAATGTTCGACAATAAATTTTGCAGAAGAACGTTTTCCTCACGGAACTGAGCTTTTGCCTATATTAGCTTTCTACATCATTATTCCGCAATCCGTGAAAGAATTGACTTGAAGGGAGCATTTTGGAGGTTTCTTGCAGGAGCATATTTCTAGGATGAGAACGTACCTCTGCCATTTGGAGATTTTACGCCTGAAATTTCCCTACACTGAGAAATTTACTGAAATTTGATATGCGTTAGAAAGAGCATGTAAAGCGCTTTCTAATGATACTGACAATACCGCATTAGAGATGAAATTCTATTAGAACAGCTGCTTCAAAATGGCAAAAAGAAAATTTAACAGAACTTAGGCAGCAGCTTAATATATAATGCTATAATATAATCGGGGCTGTGCAAAACTTCTCTCCAGTAAAGTAATCTACCGAACCCACTTTCGGGAGATCAATGTGCTTTACGCTTTCTTTTGAGAGTCGTTCATAGGTCTCAAAGCTCTGAATCGGCAAAAGCGCATGCCTACCCAGTTTTATGCCATGTCCTAATGGGCTTCTGCAGCTATTCACGTCTGGTATTGAATATTCAACTAAAGGAGAAACAATAAAAAATGGAACAAAGGCAGAAGAAGAAAATCTAAGCGATGCTCAAAGAACCCACCAGCGCGCACTTGAATTTGGAGCCTAGAAATTGGGAAAGTACTCTTAGCGGAAATGCAATATTTTTCTTCTGCTCCGTGCGCAATAGATTAGCGCAAATTGTTTCTCTGGGATTCCAAATGAAATAAGACAGGTCCTTCGCCTTCTTTTTAAGTGCACATGGTTCCAAGAAGGGTATGTAACAGGCGGTAGAAAATGTTGTCTTTACAAAAAAGCAAAAGAAGTGCGTCTTAAGTAACTCGACTCAGAGAACGACCAACAATCCTGTGAACCATATTCTGAAAAACTGGAAAATTGAAAAGCGATAACAATACAATAGCTCTACCAAAAAAGAATAACTAACTGTTCTGCAAGAGAAGAATGTTAAATAATGACTCATATAGGCTTCAAGCCCTCAATTCGTCACTCGTCTCCTTGTAAGTGCTGGATATATGACTTTGAACCTAGGATCAGATTAATTAGTTCTATCACTCTCAGAAATCAATTTTGGCTTCCTATTTTGATTTATATGCTTATTTCAACTAAGGAGACCATGCCTTTTCTAAAAGCGTTGATCCGCATTCTATCGGCAACAGTCCTCAGGCAAGGGGGCCGAAAATATTTTGGCTGAGTACTGATTTTTTGAAAGAGGTTACCTAAAATTTCAAGCATTGCAGTAAACAGAACAGTGAGTAATATAAGCAGAACAGTAAGTAATGTAAGTATATATGACCTGCTTTTTCCGAGTCTGCAAGTTACTATTATGAACTTCCGGAAAAATGCCAGAAAAATTAGACTGAAAAAGCAAATAGAAAACATTGCAATAATCCAGAATTCTCGTGACTCGACTAACATAAAGTACTTTGAAATAGAGATATAGAAAGCCTTCTAGACACCCTTTATAAATTGTCCCACCACTGTTGCCAGAACTTTCGTGCTAAGCTTATGACTGTATGTACGCACTGTCTTGTATAACTTTTCCATAAGAAGAATGAAACGAATAATCAAATAAGTATGTAGCAATGTTTCGTCTCACTCTCTCGAAAATTACTGAAACTGTCTAGATCAATTGTAAATTATAAAATCATGAATAAAGCAGTCAACCTTCCTTATTCGTTTATAATTGTAAAGAACTGTTATGTTTCATCAATTTGTAAAGAATTGGTAGGTAAGAAAGTCTCGGAGAACGGCCACCGTTACGCCTTCGTTTTCAAAAAAACTACAAAGTTAGGCTCAAGAAAAACACAGATACTGAGTCTTACAGAAACATTCCCAGATCAATTAAATTATGGTTTATATAAATTTAAAGGATTGGCACTCCTCCGCTCTCCCTCTCCCGGCCGCCAAAGAAAACCTGCAGAAACTTTTAAAAATTCATAGTGGTATGTATGTAAGTTGTCGTAACATTACAGTAATCGGAGACTGCAATTGTGAATTAAGTAGGCAACAAAGACATGCAAGATTGACTTTGCACACATTAATTTTCTCGTAAAACGTATTCGCCTATTCTAGAAGCTTGGAGAAATATTTGATTAGGCTGCATGAAAAGGTCATGGACAATTCTTGCATTCAAAATGTCTGCTTTTCTATAAAGAGTTTGAGTTTGAAATAGACTATTTCAAAGCAAAGCTGGCATGCCCAGGGTGAGCGCGACAATCGTTACGGTAATTTCCCTAGCGTGCATCGCAGCGATTGAATTATGTCAAATGTCTCTTCTGAGTTGCATGGAAACAACGCGTAAGCATAGCAGACGTTAGTTTTAATTTTTCTCAAAACTGCTCAAAAATAGTTTGGAAAAAGTTGGAATGTTTTAAAATGCTTCAGCCACGCCCTTTTACTTGGTAATCAAGGAGCGCAAGCTTACGCCAACATTGGCTAACATTTTATAGCGTTCCATCTTCCCAAATAAATAAAAACTTCTGGGACAAGGCATCCATGCGAGATGAAGAAACGTCCCAAACTTAGTCGGAGTATAGTAATTTTGAGTTCAAAATATCAGGTTGGCTGATAAATAAGTTCGGTCGCTTTCGCGGCTCATGCAAATGCTGCAACATTTGGTCCAGTATTTGGTATCTCTGAAAAGAGCACCTTAGTGGGAATTGGAATATGAATTCTATCTGAGAAATACTTTTGTTCCAAAGAAAAAAAAAGCCGCAAAGAAGTGAAGAGCAACATTTTTCTCATAGTGCGCAAAAATGAAGAAATTTGGTTTTTTGATAAAAGATTTTCAAAATGGCAGATTACAATTTTTATTATTATTCACTAAACAGGGAAAACTCCTCTTTATCCAAATACCAAACCGCTGTTTTTTACATCCATTATACCATGAAAACGAAGCTGAGGAAGTTGAAGAATGGAGCTTTTGGAAATTTAATCATGTAATCATGTTGAGGCATAACTGTCTTTACTGATGATAGAATATCCTGTGTATTTGATATGTTATAAAGGAAGATGTAAGCCTACTTATCCGCAAAAAATCATGGGTACAGAACAACAGGAAAAATTTCTATGAAGATTTGCATGCCAAAACGAACATACTTTTTAGCCAACCTAATAATATTAGCTAATCATAAAGGTAGCTAAAATATCAAAAAATTTTCGGAAATTACTCTATTTATTCACGAGTTACCTGCATAGATTTCTAACTGATTGTAGACTATTCTCAGCTGAGAAGAGGGAAACACGGTGCTCGAGCTTACTTGCTGAGGAATGGAACAAATTTGAGACTCAAGCCGAAATGATTGAAGTGTTGGCATCAGCAGCGGCGGTAATAGATTTAGGTTTTTAACCTTTGTGAAAATTCGATAACGTATGTGCGAAACGAATCAATTTGGGAGCTTCACTCCGAGCACGAATTTGCCAGAAAAGTTTGACGCAGTCAGTTTTGCCAAACTCTTGCCGGAAAGCCTTCATGAATGCAAATGGGCCGGATAACTGCGGTAATGGTTGGGTATAAACAGCGGAAACGATTGAATGCGTTTGAATCTGCGGAATTTATGCCAGACTGAGAGATAGGGAGTAATTGTGGTGTAATCGCTGTGCTATGTAGTGTTCACTAGTCAGCTGCTGCGAATCTCCGATGGCACCAACTGAAGCGTAAACCGGCACTTATTTATGATGAGTAAATACAAGGGTTTTCAATGGCGCTCGCAACTTCTGCTTCCTCCCAGCTCCTCTGCTCCAACGGAAGAGTACTGAGGGCGTATATTGGATGCAGGAGGCAGTGGCGCGGTCTAGGATTTTAGGGGGAGCAGTTTTTTTTTTGAGGGTGCGTGGCATTAGCCAACAACACTTGAGGAAACATTTTGGTATGCTTCCCAAAGTTTTTTCGGGCTGCAACCCCTAAACAAATCTTTTATACATGGCTAATTTGAAATATTAGAAATTTCTATAAATTGTTCCACTTATCTGCAAGTCAAAAACCCATCTAAGAACTTTCAAAAATTTCGTCACTCGTTCTCCTCCCCCCCCCCCCCCCCCCTTCCAGCTCGCCCACTTCGTCCGCCATTGATGAGGGTGTTTGAAAAAAAAATGATTTGTTGCGTCTGTTGATTTGTTGCGCTTAAGAGTAGATTCACTCAAAACAAGTCTAACTATCAATTTTCATACATGACTGAAGCTTGAAAAGATATATACCGCTTAATGAGAAAAACTTCTGAGCACCCACGCCATTATGACTTGAGCTTTACCACCAAAAAAAATGTACTAAAAGAAACATGATACAGTGCCCTTTTCTCTGCCCTCAATGTAATTCGATAACGCTCAGTTTGGAAAAAAAGTGCTCAGAAAAGATGCTAAAGCAGAAACCGATGATGCAGCATTATACTAAAATTGAAGTTTGCTAGAGAGCAAAAATCAAAAAATGTCCGGCAAGTTTTAAATTTGGCAGGAAAGAAAACTTTGAAGTACAAATGCGATTGAGTCTTCAGATTAACTTTATTTCGATTCCCAAGACTTAACAAAAAAAAACTTTGAGACTATACTTTAATGGAAGAAGATTTTCGTTTGCATAATGAACTTTGGATTTCGAAAGGGCAGAATGGATATAAACTTTTGCCTTGATGAACGAAAACTTGCTTCGGTCTTCAACTATTTAGATTTGGTTGAAAGAGTGTTTTAGAGTAGCATGCAGATGTTAATTTTCTTCATATTTTTGAAAGAATAAATTTTCTTGACTTATCTGTCTTTGCAAACGGTTCATAAAATCATGCTTTGAAGGAAGAATTTCAAAGTGGAATCTGATCTACGAGATTTCGCGTAAGTCTCCTAAAAGACTTCATAAACTATAAGCAAATTTGGCAATGAATCCTTTCTAGACGTTTATCTTAGGCATTTTTGGTATCGCACAGAATTTTCAATCTAAGCGTGATTGGAAAAACTTGTTATTTAGGAAGGTCCGCAACAGTTGCAGTGCGACGAATCCTTTCAATAGTTCATTTTCTCGAGAATTTCAGAAAGAAGCTGGCAAGCTATCAATAATAGCTTTGACAATTTGTTAAGCGCTTGAAAGTGTCTCGTCAAGAAAAGATCAGTACAGGCGCAGAGACTCCTCCGAAATCCTGATGTATTGCATTCGGTATTTTGAAATGTTAAGCACTTTATTAGAAGCGTTGCAAGAAAGGGCTTTTTGTGCTTTGATTTTGAGACTAACTATGGAAAGCAAAAGTCGAGCTAATTTTGGTTATGATAGCTTGTTTTTTCGGTTTGTAAATATTACACTATAGATGGTGATTTCGTGTGGAAGCCATTGAACCAATTATAATACACTTCAAGGTAACATTTTCTGTTGAAAACTCCTGCGCGGTTTTTCGCAGTCCTACGTTTTTGAAGCAACTTTGAAACAAACGAGCTTGGCATGTCTTAAAATATATATTCCAAAGTCACGGAAACCTCAGCTAAACTAGTGAAAAATAACGAGAGAAGATGATGAGGGAGAGTTAGAGGGCACCATTCGTGAAAACGAGCAGTGAGTCTCTAATAAATGCCGTGCTGTGTGTTCCTCTTCGTGCTGTTCGTATTCGCCAGTATTGACTAAGAGTGGACCGAATTTGCAGCTACTTGAGTTTTCGGAGCTGACTTGGTTTGTGAATAGATTGAAAAGAACGGCTCTTTTGCTTTTGAGCGCCGCCGTAGGCCTTCAAAATAGCGGCGATAATGAAATGTAAACAAAGTGCAGTTGTTTTATGGCTTGAATTTTGGCAAATTTTTCTGAAAGGATAATCATTAAGGTGAAATAATACTGATAGACATAATTATGGCTTCTGGCTTTCACGATGTTCAAAATGCTAGCGATTGAAAGCCTCAAGGGGTGAAACAAGATCAAGTGAAGACTTTCGCTCAAAATGATGTATTCACTGAAGCTCCGAGTGCATTTCTTATGAACGCTTTCCACTCTACTGGAAGGAATTGTGAATTCCCCACGTGCTGAGCTGTGGGCGGTCGAGCAGAAGTAGCTGAGGAGCAATTGTGTGATTTAAGTGGGCTGCTGGCGGTTGAGGGCCCGTCCGTTGGGAGTAGTGTAACGGGCCATAATAGAAGATTAGTTATCTGTTATTCTTCGCAGCTTCAGTTCATCAACAAGGATGTCAGAAGGGGCAGGGCAGAGTGGTAAACTTGGGAGAAAGCATCTTCGACGGGCAATTCGAAAGACTTGAGCACTCGGAAGTAGTATCCATACTTTGGGCAGACTCGTTGAGTTGTCATGGAGGCTGAGCTGTCATAGAAAGGGTGAAGCTGACAACTCATTAATTCGTAAGTTTCACACATGATCGAGCCGTGCTAAGTACGCGCAAAAGCTACGCTGGTCAAGCAGACAATCACCGTTGCTCAGCTGAAAATGCCCATTCTCTTTTGTTTTTTGAATTTACTCATGAGGGCACATAAAGGAACGGAAATCCGGCAAGTGCAGCAGCGTTTCCGCACAGAACGGTTGTGTAAGCACAGTGAATGAGTTCCACATTTTAGAGAGTTAAAATATTGCAGAAAAAACCAGGCTGTCATAAAGTGGTTGACTTCATGATTTTTTCACTGAAATGTGACCTAAACATTGAGAAAAAAAACTCCACCACTTCGGAGTGAATCTCGTGGCGTTGCTGGACTAATACAAGGCGAATTCAAGTCATTCTCTCTTCCATTTTTTCAACCGACGTATAGTGTTCCAGGGCAGAAAAGAGAAGGACGCGAGCCTTCTCTATTGGTTTTGTGAAGTACTCTCAAGCGCTTTGGCCCTCCAATTGCAATAATGACATTCGTAATGCCCTTTGCTAGATTGAGCACAAATAGGGATAAATAGGGTAGGTACCTAAAGGCTTAAGCTAGGAAATTTCTAAATTACTTCTCGAACTACTGAGATGATCAATACGCGGCATAGAGCGACGACTTCAAATCTGTCTTCCGTACCTGCCGAACGTTTTTATGCAGAGCTATGAGCAGTCTTAAAGAAGACAATCGTATTACATACAGCTGCGAAATTAGACACTTGAAGGCCTTTTTAGCGCATCTTGAGGCATGGGCTCCATTGAATAGCCATTGTCATGTTTTCATACTGGTATGCAGCTTGTTGGAGTTAGCCAATTCCATTTCTACCATTCCATCACAAGACTCATGAAGAAATTTACTCGATTTTTAGCGCATTTCAGTAGGTTACGCTACAAAAATTACTGGCTGGGCCCGAAGTCGTTTGCAAAATAACCACAAATGAATATAAGTGGCGATCACAAATACATCGACCACTTTGTTGAATGAATTTTTACAGTTACAAGGCATTCTTGGCTTGAGGGCTTTCAGCATTTTTGTACTGATAATCAGTTAAGATACTAGTCTGCATGCCTCTAGACAAAAAGTTGTTCCAAGCACAAGTGAAAATGCATGCTTTTATCACCGCATAAAGTCCTTTTCAAAATTTTCCATGCATAATATGATTTTTTTTGCCAACGAACGTTTACTGTGTTTTGTGCTCATGCACGGTTCTTTTATATTCACACCTACGTGTGCTCAAAAAGTAATTACAGATAATGTAGCACGCTTCACTTGTACGAATTCTGCAGACTATTGAGGGTGAAGGGAGCATAATACGTTTTGCTTGCTCAAAAACATCGACAAACCCCGGAAACGAGTTGCGGTAAGAACTATGTCGAAGTCGTACAATTTTTTTTCGTTGTTTCTTCATAGGCCAGATAACTTGAAAAGTAAACGATGAAAAGCTGGGTTGCATTCGGTTTAGCTTTCCTCTCCTTTCTTAACGGATATTGCGTTAGGTTGATGCATTTAAAGTACTGAGCCAAAATAATGAGCATTTCTTCTGCTACAGCCGTAGTTTAAAAATACCTGCTCTACTAATGACTATCAATCATCGCATAAATCGTAATTCGCATGGAATTTGTATCCAAATTGGAAAGGTCATGATTTGGATCTCAGCTCCGAAGTATTTTACAAAACCTCTACTTGGGCAATTGTGACAAACGCACATAAGCATCCATTACATGTACTTGCTAAAGTTTCCCACTGCGACAAGTCGATAGAAAACAACGGCCAGAAATAGGCGAACACAATTGCGCTCTAGTTATATTTATGACTGCATACTAAAAATCTTCCGAAACAAAACCATACCTGATCCCTTTGTGCCCCAGTCATCGGAAAACATCACAATTATCATTGAAGAAAACTTTAGAAAGGCAATTCGCATCTTTAGCCAATTGTTTTCTCGACTTCCAGCCCTCAAAAATATCGGCAACCGCATTCAAATATTTTAATACGT